CAGCCATACTTGTAAACAGGAGCTTGTTGGCTCATGTTTTTTTTGTAGGTTGAACCAACTCGGCTCATCTTGTAATTTGCTAAATAATTTTTATTAGAACTCAACTTTTCTTCACTTTACACTTTATATATATTGCTATTTTCTTAACCTGAATTTACCTTTTGCCTTTAGTTGTCCATAATCATTTTCACTAGATTCATCTTAGTTGTGGACTGGTCAGTAGTCTTTTCTCAACTCTAGTGAACTTGATGAAATATATTGCATGGTTTCTGTTTGAACCATCATGATTTGCTTTGCACTTTGTCTGAGTGAAACTACTTCAAAAAGTTGGTAAGACAAGCTGTCATTGAAAAATTAAGTTCTGCTTAAAGCATTCACCCCTTGTTAATACTTTCTCATGTGGTTTGCCTGAGTGTAGGAACTGTGGTACTTTTTGAACTATGCCATGTATATTATATTAGACCAACGTGGGTGTAAAGCCTGTCAAAACTTTGGGCATAGTAAGCTTGTTTTTCCAATGCAATACCAACAAAGTTCAAAACGAGTGCAAACAAAATTCTGTCACAATTAACTAGCATATGCAATGGCATAAGTTTAGTATTGTTCTGCTGTAAGTTTCATCAATGGTTCTATCCTCATTGTCTTAGCCTGTTTTTATCTTGCTTTCTTCATGAACAAGCGTTTTTATATATCAGGTTGTCTAGACTGCACTACCTGCACGGTACCTTTTGTTCTTTAGCACTATCTAATATTTGAACTGTTTTTTTATGGCAGGGGCAACATCTTTTTTATTTACTGAGTATCAGTATGTGGGTATCTTCATGATTGCTTTTGCAATCCTGATCTTCCTTTTCTTGGGCTCAGTTGAAGGTTTCAGCACTAAGGGCCAGCCATGTACTTACAACAAGGAGAAGATGTGCAAGCCAGCCCTTGCAACTGCAATCTTCAGCACGATATCCTTCTTGCTTGGTGCTGTCACTTCTGTTATCTCTGGTTTCTTAGGGATGAAAATTGCAACATATGCAAATGCAAGAACAACTTTGGAAGCGAGAAAAGGTGTTGGGAAAGCTTTTATTGTTGCATTCAGGTCTGGTGCAGTGATGGGTTTTCTCCTTGCCGCCAATGGCCTCCTAGTTCTTTACATTGCCATTAATCTCTTCAAGCTTTACTATGGTGATGACTGGGAGGGTCTTTTTGAGGCAATTACTGGATATGGGCTTGGTGGATCCTCAATGGCTCTTTTCGGTAGGGTTGGTGGTGGTATTTACACCAAAGCTGCTGATGTTGGTGCTGATCTCGTTGGTAAGGTTGAAAGGAACATTCCAGAAGATGATCCCAGAAATCCTGCTGTAAGCTAAACTTTCCTCTTCATGTGTATTTTGCCATCTCCTGAAGAAATCTTGTCAATAATCTACTTTCAATGTCCTTGCAGGTGATTGCTGATAATGTTGGGGATAATGTTGGGGACATTGCAGGAATGGGGTCTGATCTTTTTGGTTCATATGCTGAATCATCTTGTGCTGCTCTTGTGGTGGCTTCCATCTCATCTTTTGGAATTGAACACGATTTTACATCCATGTGTTACCCCCTGCTTATAAGCTCCATGGGGATTCTTGTTTGTTTGATAACCACCCTTTTTGCTACCGACTTTTTTGAAATTAAGGCTGTTAAAGAAATTGAACCAGCACTGAAGAACCAACTTATTATATCAACTGTTCTTATGACAATTGGAATTGCAATTGTTACATGGACTTGCCTTCCGTCTTCCTTCACCATCTTTAATTTTGGCACTCAGAAAGTTGTCAAGAATTGGTGAGTGTCAACTTAACGTTTGGACAATACTAAATATTGAATCTGACACCCGTTGTTACTAAATGCCACTGAATCAGAAGTGAGCTATTCTTTTGAGAATATATTGGTTAGGTTGACTATGTCTCTTAATTCCTTTTGTCTTGTGCGTTGAGTGAGTATGTGTTCACGTAATTAGTATGCACTTAACGATTAAATTGATTGGTTTGATTGTGCAGGGAGCTCTTTTTATGTGTGGCCGTTGGTCTTTGGGCTGGACTTATCATCGGATTTGTCACCGAGTACTACACTAGCAATGCTTACAGGTAAAAGTGTAGTCTGACTGCATTCTATGATTTTGTGCCTGTGATGTTGATAATCTTCATGTTTGTCTTATTTTGCTTTTCTTGTTGTTTCTGTTTGCAGTCCTGTCCAAGATGTAGCCGACTCCTGCAGGACTGGTGCTGCGACAAATGTTATTTTTGGCCTTGCTCTTGGATACAAATCTGTCATCATTCCTATCTTTGCCATTGCAATAGCTATCTTTGTCAGTTTTTCTTTTGCTGCCATGTATGGTATTGCAGTTGCTGCTCTTGGAATGTTGAGCACAATTGCAACTGGATTGGCGATTGATGCATATGGTCCTATCAGTGACAATGCTGGAGGCATTGCTGAGATGGCTGGCATGAGCCACCGGATCCGTGAAAGAACTGATGCCCTTGATGCAGCTGGAAATACCACTGCTGCGATTGGGAAGGTTTGTAAATTGGTCTTGATTTTCATTTTGTGAGCCCTTATAGATCCATCTCTGTTTTCAAGTTCTCCTTATACATTGTTGTTAACAAGTGGATGGTGGTTAAATCTTTATGGACATTTTGATATTTTTCAATTATGCATCTTGTGTTTCGTCTATATAGTCATGCTTTCCTTTTTCTGCATTTGCATAATGGAGATCTTTCCCAGCATTTCTTCCTTTCCTAACTGTGGACATTCATTTCTTTCCAGGGCTTTGCCATTGGATCTGCTGCACTTGTGTCCCTGGCTCTGTTTGGTGCTTTTGTTAGTCGGGCTGCAATTTCAACGGTTGATGTCTTGACCCCCAAGGTGTTTATTGGTTTGATTGTTGGAGCCATGCTTCCCTACTGGTTCTCTGCCATGACCATGAAGAGTGTGGGTAGTGCAGCTTTGAAGATGGTTGAGGAAGTGCGCAGACAATTTAACACTATTCCTGGTCTCATGGAAGGCCTTGCTAAACCTGATTATGCCACTTGTGTTAAGATCTCGACTGATGCATCTATCAAGGAAATGATTCCACCAGGTGCCCTAGTCATGCTCACACCCCTCATAGTTGGTATTTTCTTTGGAGTGGAGACACTTTCTGGTGTACTTGCCGGTGCTTTGGTATCCGGTGTACAGGTATGATCAGATTCTTCCGCTTTATGATTTTGGAGTTTTAAGGATTCTGTTCAAATATGGGTTCTTTTTAAAGAATTATATCCAAATCTCATGTGTATTTTTTCCAGATAGCAATATCTGCATCAAACACTGGAGGTGCATGGGACAATGCCAAGAAGTATATTGAGGTATAGAAGACACATCCAACTTTATGTATGTGTTTCATGGCACACACTAGAGTTTATTAAATTTGCTTTCTCTATCAGGCTGGTGCTTCAGAGCATGCAAGGACTCTCGGCCCAAAGGGTTCTGAACCTCACAAGGCTGCTGTTATTGGCGACACCATCGGTGACCCCCTGAAGGACACTTCAGGCCCATCACTCAACATTTTGATCAAACTGATGGCAGTTGAGTCACTTGTATTTGCTCCATTCTTTGCCACTCATGGTGGTATCCTTTTCAAGATCTTTTAAGGAAAGTTGGTTGTAGCCGAGACTTGTGGCATCTTTTTCAGTCAACATAGCAAGGGATTTTTGGATTAGTTTCTAGTCAGAAGTGGAGTTTCGGTGATTTGATGATGATGATAGTTGTCACTGTAAGGAGGGTAGAAGAAAATTTGTCAGTGTTGTAGTAAAATAGTCTTGAAGCTAGCGTATTAGCTTTCTCATATTTCATAGACATTAACTCCCAATTTTGTCTGTACTATCATTATCCACGTTTAAGTTAATGGAGCAACTATTCAGCTTTTCATTTGTTACAGAAGGTAGGTAGTCTTTTCATCACATTGATAGTTCATTGTTGGTTTGTGTATTTTTTATCATTTAGTCTTTTCAGCTCACCCTCCTCCCATCTCTCTCTAGAGGTCTTGTTGGAAAAAAATAAACTTGCGGTATAATATGCTAGTTTTGTGCCCTTTTATTAGCTCACGATTCTGATTGTGTTGAATTAAGGTGAAGTTCTGATGTACAAGAACTGGAATCATTTTTCAGATTGTCAATAATCAGTAGTCCCATTCTCCCCTCCATGTGCGCGTGAGTATGATGTTAAAACTTGCTTTTCATTCTGTTGTTTCATTGGAAAGTGTCTCCGTGTTCTGTAATTTGTTTTTTATATATGTATTTGAAATCAGGAGCCCATTTCCAGATGTGATCTTGAGATATGCGAACACTTGAACTGTGATAAAACAACTAGACAACAAGACATTCGCTCTCAGCTTCTGCCAAAATCATTTGACCTCAATACTTAAGGCACTTCAATTCTTCTGTTTTGGCAAGTTATAGAATACTAGAGAAGTAAAGGGGAATGGTTAATAAGTTGTAATGTTTTGCCTTCGACCTATTAAAAGGTGAACAATTCTATATATATTGGATCTCTAAGCTTGGTCAGTACTTGGTGCACCATCTCGCTTCGACCCTTTACTACTGCATTTTTTTAGCATCTACTAGAACAATCAGGCGTCAATTTTCAAGGTATATTCCTCAGCTCCCTTTGAATTTGACTGCTTAATAGTCAAAGCAATTCATTCAGTTGGTTCAAAGTAGATGGGTAAAATTAGTCCATGAAATTATAATATGCCCAACTTGTTTAAGTTTTTACACATTTGTTAGCTCAGTCTATTTCATTTCAGTAGAAATCTCGCTCAAATTGATAAAAATATATATCAAAAGGACATTTTTTTTTATTGATATAACGATAAAAATCACTTTGAAATAGTTTTTTTACATCTCAATTTAGTTATTCTCTTCTGCTCTGGAGAACCAATAGAAAGACCACCTGACCATAAATGCAGTAATAAATAATACTGCTGATCCAGAATCTTTAAGAGGGGTGATAAGTTTGATAGGCAGACATCAAATTCCCCGTCACGCAGTACTGTACAGCCAAACTAGGTCGCTATTAGTTTCTTGTTGATGACATAGTTTGCTCAATCCTAGAGCTAGATTCACACACTCCGCCACTATAAAATTTATTACTCCCCTTCGTCGTGGTTGCCTTTATCGTTCGCCTGTCTCTCTTGGGAACTTGAGGTAATCCCCATTTCATTCTTTACAAATCGTATGTGGCGTTTCTGATTCCTGATGAAAAATCTGATTTTGTTTAATGGGTTTCTGTTAATTTGATGGGATTTGTAGTTTTGCTGCTGAGATTTGACCATGGGTAATGCTTCTTCGATGTTGACTCAATATGATATTGAGGATGTTCAAGACCACTGCGACCATCTCTGTAATTTTTTCTTACTCATCTATTAGTCTTCTTCTTATTCCTATTTTTTGCACAGCTTACTAATTAGGATTTACAAAACAACCCCAGTTGCACAGCAGGAAATAGTGTCACTGTATCAGAGGTTCTGCCAACTTGATCGGAATTCAAAGGGTTTTATATCAGCTGATGAGTTTCTCTCTGTGCCAGAGTTCGCAATGAATCCACTTTCTCAGGTATGCTTATAATTTTTTGGTTTGCTCTTAACTATTAGATTTGTGCAAGCTGACCCCCGGGCACCACTGTTATGAAAATAATTGCTATTTTTTTGTGTCTTGTTGGTCTGTTCTGTGTTCAATAATAATGTGAAATACATCTTTACAGAGATTGCTTAAGATGGTGGATGGCTTGAACTTCAAGGACTTTGTGGCATTTTTATCAACTTTCAGTGCTAAAGCCAGTGTGGCACAGAAAATTGAACGTACGTCGTTACATCTTTACATGTGTTGTATTTTTGCTACTTAAGAAAAACATATTATGTAGTAGGAAGACTGTGTTTAAAACTTGTTTACACTTACTGACATCTTAGACATACGACTATCCCCGAAAGCTGTTCTGTAGTTTTAAGCTGATTTATATATGATTCTCTCTACCTATGGTTATTTGGTAACCTATGCATTTGCTACTGTGGTAAAAGAAGATCCATCAGTGCCATTGAATGATTTTGTTATAGTCTTTCTAGGATTAAGGAACTTATAGTAGAAGGTCTAGAGGTGGTGGTAACATACCAGTCATATTAAAGAAGGGCTCTTATAACAACAATTATTCAGATTCTTTTACTACTGAATTGTTAAAACAAGAGATTTGTTATTTACCTAATACTACAATTTTTTACTAACTTTTGCCCTTTATTAACACTTACCGATTTCCTCACCTATGGCTACCATGTTGTTTCAGTTATCTTCAAAGTATATGATTCTGATTGCAACGGGAAGGTGACTTTTGATGACATAATGGAAGTGCTTCGGGATTTAACTGGATCATTCATTTCTGACAAGCAAAGAGAGGTATGTTACATCTATTATCCTTTTTTTTTCACTCTCTTTCTTTTTTGATACCGAGTTTTATTCACAAAAACAGAATTAAGAAAGTTCTCCATTTGTACAAGATGTACAAATAGTATCCTAATCATGTTGGGATCAAAATAATCAGGGCGTCATGCGGACACTAGCAATTGCAAATCTTGACGACGATAAATCAATGACAAAGAAAACTATATTAAAAGAAACATATTATTTTGATATGGTTTAACCAATTAGCTTACACATATGAGAAACTAATATAAAAGAAATTATATAAACTATTGGAGAGAAAATCTCTCCCTAAGCAACACTCTTATAATGACTATATTGTGGATGCTATTGTGTTATTGTGGGAAAGACTGATCTTCAATTTATAGAAGTTAAACTTTTCCTCCAAGAATTCCACCCAGAAAACCTTTTTTGAATAAAACACATATTTCTTAGAATTCAGATTTAGGACATTCAGGGCAAACCCTAACAAATCCAACGTAGAAAGATTCTGTAAAGTTACAAAAGTGAGTCAAAATCATTTACCTCGTTCATATTTCACCTAAGTGATGGAGATTGTACATCTTGATCAAGATGAGTGTTCCTGTAAAAGATTTGTAGCTCCTTTAAGAGGAGCTTGGATATACATTAGACTTCATCAACTTCATTCATGGTATGTATCATGCGTTGAAGTAGCATAAATACTCTATAAATTTTAATTATTTTATTTGAGGTTGTAAGTGCTTTATGATCTTTAATATCTTAACTATGATAATTTGCTTGTGGCCTTTTTATTTAAAGGACCATAACTAATAAATAACTCTGCCAAAAGAGTAACCCAAGAAGTTTATAAAGCACGTCAAAAGTGTAAACTGAGAATATCAGTCTGAGCATTTTAATAGTATATGCGCCACTGTTTTACTAATCTGTTCTCTTTGAAACCTTTTCTCACTTTACTTGTGGTTCCGTAGAATCTTGTGTACACATATGTTCTGATTTAAAGGTCAAATTTGCAGTGTTCTAATGTAAGGCTCTCAAATGTAGTTAGTGGAGTCATGAACTGATACTTTACATAGATTTGACGTTTGTTCTAGCTCATGATGGGCCAGTTTTTCTTTCGAGAACTTGTGGCACTTCCTTCGTTAGTAGCTTCTGAGTTGTAGTCTTGCTCTTTTCCTTTATAGTATTGTTTATCTAGGTCGGAATGGAGGAGAAAAATGACAAGAAGGCTGGCCATATGTAATAGAGAAGTTTATAATAATTCATGTCTGCAAATAAAGTATCATGCTTGTGATTGAGAAATTCTGAGGGTGTTTTTTTGCCATTATCTGTTCAAAAAGGACCATTAGAGGAATTTGTTAAAGAATAAATGTGCATAGTCATCAATTCACATATTAAGATTCAAACTTTGAATGTGTTTGGGTACACGATTCATGATTTGCTAGACATTTCTTGCTGATACATTGCTGCATTCACATGCACTGTAATTTTGAGTATTTTCTTTGCATCTTTTAAATCAGCCAGGCTCTATCCTCGAGTAAAAGAGCATTTTACTTTCTGAATCTCATGTGATTTTGTAGCTTCCTGCCTTATGCAGAGTTTATCAGTTGCCATTTCATGTAGCTTTTGAATAATGAATATGATGAGTTCGTCGTCTGCGTTTGATCTGGATTGCAGGAAGTGTTGAGCCAGGTCTTGCACGAGGCTGGTTATACAAGGGACTCATTACTGCTGTTGAATGACTTCATTAAGGTTAATTCATATTTTCTGGACCGAGAATACAAAATTTTAAGTCGTTTTTATTAACTAATGTTTTGTGGGGAGATAGGTCCTTTTTTTGGGTGGGGTGGGGAAGCCTGCTAATAAGAAAGATTAGTGTCACAATTAAGAAATGGTGTCCTTCCTCAGAAGCATTCTGATGTAGTGAAGTTTTTAAAAGATTCACATTGAGAGACACTGTAATGGTGCAAGTTAAGGCAAGGCCCTTGTCACAATGGGTATGCTTCTGATGCTATTTCGTTTTATTATAGCAAAACATGCAGTTACGGAGCCACTATCATTTAGATTCGATTTATAAATTGCTTTTGTTTAGATCGGTGAACTTTTCATGATAACTTGAAGCGGGTTGGGAAGATCAACTGTATGATTGTATTTGCTCAAACTATCTTTCTTGTTTTAGTGCTCATTTCTCTCTCCTTATTGCTTTGTACGTGTGTTGGCTTATGTTTCAGATCTTGGACCACCCTGGTTTGAAGATGGAGGTTGAAGTACCAATTGACTAGTTACACCTGCGATTTCATTTACTACAATTCAGATGTCTCTGTGTACACATCTTGTTGAATTCGTGCACCCTGCAATCTCCTGCTGTATTTTTTTTCCGTTTACTCTCTTTCTATTTCCTCTCCCCCTTTGTGGGCGCAGGGACAGAAACAGAGAAACCACCGTGTAATTAAAGATAAAAACTTGCAGTTTATTCAAAAAGATCTAGAGTATGCTATAATTTCTCATGTCTCACGATCTGTGTATTTTTTCGAAGATAATTCGAGCAGAGTTCTCCTTGATTGAACCTAGTGTGGTGCATCTTGAGCTAGTCGAGTGAGCTGCTTACTGTTCTTGAACATGTTAACACACGCATAGTTCCTAATAAATTGTCTTTCACTTAAACATATTTGTCCTGAAATGCAGAACATGAGATTTGTAATTCATACTTGATTTTAATATGCTTTACTTGAGCGGATAGTTTATTAGAAACAACCTCTCTTGATTCACAAGGTAGGGATAAGGTTGAGTACACATCACTCTTATCAGACTCACTTGCGGGATTACACTGTTCTTGTAGAAGTAATGCAGGATGAATGAGTATATCACACTCTCAGCTTGAGCTCAATAAATAAGACTCAGATCCCAATAATGCGCACAGGCTCAGGAACTGTCAATTGTTAGAACTACGGTCCAATGAAAGGATGGATGATTAATTTGAACAAATCATTCTAAAAATTGCCAAAAATAGAATGTGTTACTGCTAATTAAAGCTACTGCCATTCATTGATGCCTTCTGAATTCTGATTATATGCATCCAAAATTTGCCTCTTTCTTTGAATGGAAGAAATCTGACCCTCCTAATTTCAGCTTCATGGCAACCTTTTCGTTTACCGGTTTTCTACCGTGCAATTAATTATCAGTTAACATTCTATGCTAGAAATTTTGCATTTATTCAAAATGCAAAAATTGAATAAATTGAAGCCGAAAGAATCTATCCACCAATATGCTTACAAGGCCAGCCAGCATGTCATCAGGCCACAAAGGAAAATCCGTCGCGTACTCGCATCACTTAGCTGAAAGTTCATCAAGGAATTTTTGTGCAGAAGAAGCTAATTACAGCAATAAGGAGCTTGTGCATGCTGAACAAGTTAAACTACTTGATAAGAGGTTGAGAGTTCTTGAAGATGAAGCAGAAATTCTCAAGGTAGTTTTCTTGGAAGGTGTGGAAGAAAGAAGAAAGTTGGTAAATGAAGTTCAAAACGAATTTCAGGCTGCCTGCGGATACCCAAAGGTATTAATAAGATATTCTTTAATGCTGCAATTAAAGTTTTGCTTGTTTCTATTGAACTGCAGTTTGTTGCCTAATGTTCTTTTCCTGTACAGCGGCAACGACATGGACTCCTGCAAATTCTACGTGAAGAATCAAATCCAGCAGTTGTCATCAGAAAACTGAAAGCTTCAGATGCTACTGAATGTGTATCTGAATTCTCAGGTAGATGGTTCCGCCTGTTTGTGAAGATTTGATGGCCTGGAAGCAGCATCTTCTCCTCATGTGTGGTGCTGATTTCTTTTTATTCAGATACCAAACACGTGAAAATATTATTTTCGCTTCTTAGGTGGCGGTGATATTTGAAACTCAAGACTTTTTGTATGATCTGTTGCCATGTTGAACTGTGTGACTGTCTCGTCTAAAAAGTTTTAACTATTAGAGATATCACACTTTAATTTATCTACTGAATTATATTATGTCTCAACAATTTTATCATCTGAAGTTATATATACTTTCACTAGAAGCCTGCTGTTATGCATTACATAATCTGCAAATTAAGAAGAAGCTATTGTTGTAGCTAGTTTCTACATTCTCAATGTAAGGATTCTCACTTCGTTTAGTCATCAACCATTACTCATCTCTTTCAACTTTCCAAGCAAATGTGAAATGACAAATGAAAATGAAACTGGCACAGAAGAAATTTTTTAGTTAATCAATACTTTTAACCATGAAAACAGCCGACAACATTAGTGCACACCAGAAGGTACTTATTTCTCCACAAACATGAAAGACAAACTTAGGACTCATAGAGAAAACAACTATCCCATAACATAGCAACCCTCTAAGCATAGGCTTCAGGATTCTGAAGGAGATAGGCTTCTACAGCTTTGAACATCGTCAAAACCTTCTCTTTGCCTGCCTTGATTTCCTCTTCCTTGAGCTTAAAATCTCCCACAGTATAGTATGAGCTAGTCACCTTAGAGATGGAACCACCATCTGCTGACTGCTCAAACTTCACGTCATAAGTTATCTTCTCAAGGTTGTCTACCAGTCCATCACCTTCGATCATTGTGTACTTATATGTGTATGTCTCCTCATTAAGCTCATCCACACGATACTTTATAGACTTAAAATTGCCACCTACACATGCACAAAAAGAAATAAGATAAAACCAGAAGACTTTTGCATAAAACATAAAAGAATAATTTTGGTGATTGTACCGTCAGTAAAATTGATAGTCTTGATGCTTCCAGCACCTCCATCACCTTGAACTTCAATGCTTTTAATTGCTTGAGGCATCAAATTTGGGATCAAGTTATGAGAATCAACAATGGATGCCTTGAATATCCTTTTGGGGGGGAGTGGAGAAGTATTCTCCTCAGTGAAGGTGGTGACAGCCATAATGTTTTGATTCTGAGATGAAAATGAATTGAGTGGGATTTCTTGTAGATGGAGAGCACTTGCTTGATGAAAAAAGGAAGGGAATATCAGAGTTTATATAGGTTCAATTCCATGTATTATATAATCTTGTAGTCATTTTCATGGCTGGCCAAATATATGCTTTTGCTTGTCCATATGCATTGGTTTCCAGTGTTAATAAAATTGCTATAGCTTAAGGCTATGTTTGTTTGGTGGTTAGATGCTCTTTGTTGGATTTACTTAATTATTCAATATACTTGGTGTACATGAAGTAGGCAATGGTCTTCCAATTTATAAAGATTTTTGCCTTTGGCTTGTGTTAAAGGTTTTATTTTTATTTTTTTTCTCTTTCATAGGGTACACATAGTCCTCCTACATTTTCTTAAGTGAAAGCAGAAAATAGTTTGTATTGTATTGTACTACCGAGTGTCTCGATAAATCAGGATTAAAATTGTTTCTTCTGGTTGAATAACATCAATTTCTTAGTCATGGTAAACTAAGAAGAGTAAAACTGCAGTAGAAATTCAGCTAATGTCAATTGTCTACAATGTTAACAATCCTCAAACTCAAACTCTAGTAATATGATTCAAAGTGAGGATAAATACTGATAAGAGGATACATTTAACACGGGAATTAAATTTCTCCACGATAATCTCCAGAACCGAAGTAGTCTCACCTTAAAATTGGCTATCAGCATCCTCATTTGGTGCTCTAGCTTGGGGCAGTCACGGATACAATGACCAAACCCACCACAATATGCACAACCCTTTACTGCACTTGCATTCATAATTGTCTCGACGTAGTTCAGGTTCGTTTGGATACCCAAAGGTATTAATAAGATAATCCTATTGCTGCAATTAATGTTGCTTGTTTCTACTGAACTACAGTTTGTTGCCTAATGTTAGATACTTGTGTTCTTTTCCTGTACAGCGTCAACGATCTGGACTCCCGCAAATCCTATAGGAAGAGTCATCTTCAGCAATCAGAGAACTGAGAGTTTCAGAGGCTGTTTTCCAGGATTCTACTCAATGTGAATGTGAATTTTCACATCAAATGATTCCATCTGAGAAGATTCCATGGCCTGAAGGCTGCAATATTCTCCTCATGTGTGGTGCTGATTCTTTTTATTCAGGTATGTTAGGTATGTTGGGTAATGTCAAAATCCTGCCTATGGCAAAGCCCACAAGGGGCAGGAGTGGCCCGGGCTGGAGTCACGATCGAACATGGTGCTTTCTTGGTGGACCTATATATAAATAAAGTTGCGCCTTTGCTATCATGAGCTATCGCTTTTGACATGATGGTAAACGCTTGATCCTAACAAGGTACCAAACGTGGAAATATTATTTTTGCTCCTTAGCTAGGGTGAGATTTGAAACTCGAGAATTGTGTGACTGTCTCTTCTAAGAAGTTCTATTAGAGAGACCAGTTATCTTCTAAATTATATTATGTCTCAACAATTTCATTATCTGAAGTACTTTGACTAAAGTGCTATGTTAGAAATGAATAGTCACTGTCACTAGAGTGATCATTTTCATATTTCCGTTCTTCTTTTTTGGACGCATTTAAGGACTAAGCTGTTATGCATTACAGAATCTGCAAAGAAGAAGCTATTGTTGTAGCTAGTTTATACATTCTCAATGTAAGGATTCTCACTTTAATTAGTCATCAACCATTACACGTCTCTTTCAACTTTCCGAGCAAATGTGAAATGACAAATGAAGATGAAGACTGATACAGAAAAAAACTTAAGATTATCAGTACTTAAACAATAAAAACAGCTAACAACATTATTGCACACCAGGAGATACTAATTGCTGACACAGACATGAAAGAAAAACTTAGGACTCATAGAGAAAACAACCATCCCATAACATAGCAACTCTCTAACTTCTAAGCATAGGCTTCAGGATTCTGAAGGAGATAAGCTTCTACAGCTTTGAACATCGCCAAAACCTTCTCTTTGCCTGCCTTGATTTCCTCTTCCTTGAGCTTGAAATCTCCCACAGTATAGTATGAGCTAGTCACCTTAGAGATGGAACCACCATCTGTTGACTGCTCAAATTTCACATCATAAGTTATCTTCTCAAGGTTGTCTACCAGTCCACCACCTTCGATCAATGTGTACTTATATGTGTATGTATCCTCATTAAGCTCATCAACACGATACTTTATGGACTTAAAATTTCCATCTATACATGCACAAAAAGAATTAATTAAGTTAAACCTTGAGTACTAATCAGAATACTTTGCATGCTCAAAACATAAAAGAATAATATTGGTGATTGTACCGTCAGGAAAATTGATAGTCTTGATGCTTCCAGCACCTCCATCACCTTGAACTTCAATGCTTTTAATTGCTTGAGGCATCAACTTTGGGATCAAGTTATGTGAATCAACAATGGAAGCCTTGAATATTCTTTTTGGGGGAAGTGGAGAAGTGTTCTCCTCAGTGAAGGTGGTGACAGCCATAATGTTTTGATTCTTAGATGAAAATTAATTGAGTGGGATTTTTGTCGGGGCTTGTTTGATACAAAAACGAAGGGGGTTTAAGAGTTTATATAGGTTCAAGTCCATGAATTATATAATCTTGTAATCACTTTCATGGCAGGCCAAATATATGCTTTTGCTTGTCCATATGCATTGGTTTTGCTATAGCTTAAGGATATGTTTGTCTGGTGCTTAGATGCTCTTTATTGGTTTTACTTATTCAATATATTTGGTATACATGAACTAGGAAATGGTCATCCAATTTATAAGGAATTTTGCCTTTGGGTTGTCTTTAAGGTTTTTTTCTCCTCATTTATAGGGTATGCCTAATTCTACTACATTTTTATCAAGTGAAAACAAAAAAATAGTTTGTATTGTACTGCCTAATGTCTTGACAAATCAGGATTTGGTCATGAGAGGATGATTGCCTCAATACATAATTGTTTCTTCTGACAGAATAATCATCATTTCTTAGGCATGGACAATCAAGGAAGTTCAAATGCAGTAGAAATCCAGCTTAAGGCAATAGTCTATGATTTTCACAATCCTCAACTCTATTAATATGATTCAAAGTGAGGATGAATATCGATAATATAAAATCGAAGTAAACGTCTGTGTAAAGTTAAGATCCCAAGATACATCTGGGATTCTGGAGCAAAAAGTATCCAAAACAGTTCAAGAAACAACTTTAAATTTAACCATGGATATTACATTTTACATTGAGAAACCTATTAGTAGTAACTATCATCAAGATACAAAGAGAAGAGGATACATTTAGCAAGGGAATTAAAGTTCTCCACGATAGCCTCCAGAACCGAAGTAGGCTCTCCTTGAAATTGCTATCTGCACGCTCTTTTGGGGATGTCACGGATACAATGACCAAGCCCACCGCAATATACACAATCCTTTACTCCACTTGCATTCATGATTGCATCAAGGTAGTTCAGGCTGCATTCAGATAACCAAAGGTATTAATAAGATAAATCTTATTGCTGCAATTACTGTTGCTTGTTTCTATTGAACTGCAGTTTGTTGCCTGATGTTATATATATACTTGTGTTATTTTCCTGTACAGGTCAAGGACATCGACTCCCATGATTTCTGTTGTGAATAATCATATCCAGCAGTTGTCAGCAGAGAACTGAGAGTTTCAGAGGCTGTTTTCCAGGATGCTACTCGATGTGAATGTGAATTTTCACATCAATGATTCCATCTGTCTGAGAAGATTCGATGGCCTGGAGGCTGCAATTTACTAACACGTGAAAATATCATTTTTGCTCCTTAGGTGGGGAGCCACAAAGGACTATCTAAATTGATTTGTTTCTGCCGATAAGCCTCAATTGCATCA